AAAGGGTTGACTATTGTATTGACGGCCAACTAAAAGAATTGGTCAAAACATTTTTATCGTCTACTTCATTTTTGTTTCATTTTCACTCACATTCCATAACCCTTTCTTTATTTCTTTCTCTACCTTATTGGTCTAACCCTAATTAGTATACGATTTTTATGTATTCTAATCACATGTATAAACGAGTCCATACACGACTGACCAACACTTTAGAGAATTAATAATTTAACAATGAACCACTATCTTTTTCAGCTCAATATCGAGTGCAATTAAAAATAAATATACATAGTTATTACTTATTAGAAAGTCGTCATTTTTCACTATGGGATTTAAAGGCCTGAAATTTTAAGCGAGTTCTAGTTTGTATGCTTTTTGCTTCTCTCTAGAGTCTTTCTTTTTCACCCAGGCTAGAATTTTTAACAATTGTAAATGGAATTTTCAACAATTATACATATGAAATAAATAGTTTTCTATTTTCTATAAAAAAAATGTAAATAATTATCATCTTAAATACATCACCATAAAAAAACAATTAAGCCTCAACAATGCAAATTACAGTTTGCTAACTAAACTTAATAGATCTTTAGATTTATAACCTAATAAGTCCTCAAATATTGATAGAACATACCATTTTAGTACCTAAAATTTTTTATATTATATTTTAGTACCTAAACTTTTGAAGTTAATTCTACAAATAGGTATAATTTTGTATGTGTAATTAAAACACCCTTGAATAAATGGGTATCCATACCCAACTCATACACATTTAGATTGTGAAAGTAAATATTCATACTATATCCAAACTCATCTACAAACTTCCAAACTCATATATACGTCATTCATACCCTACCCATAATCAATGGGTCTACTTGAGTTTGGGTAAATATCATTTATTAGCCAAAAATTTCAAATTTTTTTAAATTGGATATTGACCACCATATATATCTTCTCAGTCAATATCATATTGTCAAGTCAATATTACTAACAAAATTGCTAACAAAAAATTAATTTTAGACTAATAATACAAACAAAATACCACAATGGGCCACATAATACATGCTCATATATCATCTCCGCCATGCGACATGGCACGATGAATCAGGGATTCGACGTTTTGTTTTACAGGGGTGGCTATATAAAATATTAGTTTTATAATAAATTCATCATTGGACGGATACATTACGTAAATAGTATAAACGACAGTAGTAATTGTTCATAAAAATAAACATACATTCTAGAGTTTTTTTCTTAAATTCTAGCAAATTCTCTAGTGTAAGGAAGAAAGTAAATAACCAAACTCATGCCACAGAACCATCTCATAATAAAATAAAAACATATAAAAAAACCAAACATTAATGAAGATATCTACAATCAATATTCGCTTTCTTCTTGTTAACAATGTGGTCACCTTCATTTTTAGATCCACTACCTCCAACATTAGAAGATCGACTCTTTTTGCTTCTCCCACATCTCAATAAAAGCGAAACTATAATGATATGGCAAATATAACACTTCAAGTAGAATATATTACATCCAAGTCATGAAATTGTTAATGATGTGTTGTCTATTCTATCTGAAACCACTAATTTCCAACATGGAAAGTATCTTCCTCTTCTAAAAAAATATTATTATTAGCATAATTTATGTTTTAATGGGTATGGTGATTTTCCTAAAGTGAATTATGAAGTTAAGAAGAATGGACGTCTAAAGATAGATTGCTACCTAGTTGACATCATCTTTAATTTTGTGTATGATTTTCACAAAAGTGCTTGAGAGAGTTTTCTTCAACTTTTGGTCGATAGGTCGCATTAAGCATAGCACCACCAGTTCCTAACTTTGACAACTTAATTACATTGGAAGGAATACGAATTATCTTACTTATTAGAGAAAAAGAGATAGCATTTTAATATTAATGAGTCGTTAGATTGAAACTGGAGTTTCATCATTTCAATTCGTTTACACTCCCTGAAGGATGTGATGCACCTCCATCACTTTTATCACGAAAACAATACTTGTGAAACCAAATTTTGGTTTTCTAAAACTCCGAAATTTGTAGTTTCATTAAGAGACAAATCTATAAGAAAATAGGTTTCTTTATCATCATGTTAAGAGACAAATATTAATGTAATGACCAAAAGGAGAAAATGATCACCAATATTTGTGAGAATTGCATATATTGTCCTGCCCCACAGAGAACCTTCACAACAAACTCCATGTACCCAAATTGTATATTAGGCCCAAATTAAAATTTGTAACAAAGCATGCAAATATATAGATGCAAGTTTAAAGAATCATATACTCATAAAGCTTTAGTTGGATCTCTGTACAAAATTTTCTTATAAAATTACATGTTTCCCTCTTACTAACTTTGTCAATAGCTAATAAATTCTCTTCAATTTTAATGTAGTGACTAAAATGAGAAGACGGTCACCAATGTTTGCGAGAATAATATATATTGTCATTCCTTATAGGGGAACCTTCATAACTAACCCATGTACCCAAATTGTATATTAGTAGTGATGACAATATCTTATATGAACCGTGCGACCCGACATGTCCCAACTTGTTTGGGGCGGATATCATCCGACCTCCAGTAGCTTGTTGCGAGGCATGGATATTGCTTACCATCTGTCCCTCCCCGTCCCCATTTTTTACCCGTTCTATCTTGATTCGCATCAATATCTACATGTATTTTTTCTCTTTTGACCTTTCTAAAATCATGTTTGCATCCCAAAGAATTTCTCTATACTATCTTTCAACTATTGAGACTCAATTATTCCTTCTACTATGTTTCTCATCCATTTATGAATTATTTTTTCTATGTGTTATTGTCAAAGAACTAAATATCGACGTTCTTTTTTCAGATAACATATAAGAGTGGGTCGACCTGCCACACCCCACACCCGAGCGGGTATTATCCAACCTGACCAACGCTTAGTATGGAGTGAGTGGGTATGGGTATTAAGGTACCCATCCCTTCCCGCCTCATCGATATTACTATATAGTACACCCAAATTAAATTTTAAACAATGCATGCAATTTTAAGATGCAAGTTTAAAGAATCATGTCTCATTAAGCTTTATTTTATCTTTTTAGAATTTTTTCTGATAGAAAGAAATGTTTCTATCTTACTAATTTTGTCAATAGCTGATAAATTATCTTCAATTTTAACTTACATGAATCGATTGTTGAAAATTTAATTTGAAAAACATTAATTCTATAATGTCGAAAGTCAAAATAATTGAAATGATTATAAACCGATACGAGTTATTATTTATGGTCATATCATTAGTAAACTTGTTTTGTAGTTCAAATAGAGATTGGTGAGAGTCAATTGTAATCGATTTTTTAATATTCTACTGTTAAATACTCATGGTCTTTTGCGTGTAATTTTGATATAGGTTTAAGAGACCTTGATAGAGTATACACTTATTGATGTATTTATCAATCTAAATACTTAACACTCTATCAATGATTTTTAATAATATACATAAGCGATCTATATTGTTAAATCAATACATTTTAATTAGTGATTATTGACTATTTTTTGAATCTATTAAAGGCCTATGTTGAAAATTTCAAGCATAAATCACTCCCAATAATGATCGAATAATGAACAATTTGTTTAGTCAACCACAGAAAAATTTGAACCAATGACAATTTGATCCACAAATTTTCAAACGGTTTGATATAGGTTTAAGAGACCTTGATAAAGTATACACTTATTTATCAATCAAAATACTTAACACTCGATCAAAGACCACACAGAAATTTAAATCAATATTTTGATCTTTTGACTTCGCCAGATAAGTAGTGATTAGTCTTACGAGACAAATTATCGTGACAACTCAATAATTTCTAGACTTGCATTATCATTTAATATATCACTTTAACTATTACGTGACAGATAACACAACCCACATCAATTTTCACCCCTAATTTTAATGCTATACATATGACAACTACGTAAATAACATTTAGTCGATGTACATAGTATGTGTCAAAATCGGATAGCTCTATTAGTACAATATTGTCCGCTTTTGGCCAAGTCCACACGGTTTTACTCTTCGGTATCCTCCCCAAAAGGCCTCGTAATATACAAGGGTTCCTTCCCTTGTGTTTCCGATGTGGTACTTGATTGTCACATAAGTCATAACAATAGTCCCCCTCAATACAAGGACCACGAACTTCGTGTCCTCTCCTTAATGATTATCTTGATCCGCCAGACACCTTGTACCGATGGGCTTCTCGGTACAAGAATTTTCCCCAGACGTAGAACTCCCTTTGATCTGATTCCTAGACGCAAACCTCCCTTGATCCGCCAACCCAAGCAAACGTGGATCTCTCTTTGATCCACCAAACGCGGAACACTCTTCGATCTGCCAAACAGATGCAGATCTCAAATCCCAAGGTCACCGAATGAGGGTCACACCAAACTGACGTCCATTGCCCAGAACTGAACCAGGATTTGATACCACTTTTCGAAACCGGCCGATAGCTCCATTAGTACGATATTGTCCACTTTGGTACAAGCACACACGGTTTTACACTTTGTTATCATCTCCAAAAGGCCTCGTACTAATGGGCTTGGCGGACACTTTATAAAAGAAAAGGGCAAAGTTATGTAATAGGTCACTTCCATCACCAACTAAAGCTATTTCTTACTGGTGTGGATTCTCCACAAGTACTTCAAAGGATGGGGTTGATCCACAAAATCCAATCAGTAAACTACCATCCATGAGCGAATACCTTCGAGTTATCGGCCAACACGATGTAATTGACAGGAAGCTCGTCCACTCTTTCACCCGCGGATGCTACTTTTCGTCCGGGAGGGAACCACTCAGATTGACTTCTATGGATGGGATTCATGTTCATTAGTTTTTCGCTTTCCGGGATTTATCTCCACCAACTATGATAAAGAAATGTCGTTGGTGAACTAGGTTCCCAATAGCTAATTTTACCGCACCTGAAAGCATAAAAAATACATTTTTGAAAATTCATCAATGATGTCCTTCCATGGATTCGCCTATATAAGCCGCGGCTAAAGTTGCAAAAATAAGAGCTTGAATACCGCTTGTAAATAATCCAAGGAACATGACAGGTATAGGAACCACCGAAGGTACTAAAGAAACAAGAACAACAACTACTAATTCATCCGCTAAGATATTTCCGAAAAGTCGAAAACTAAGTGATAAAGGTTTTGTGAAATCTTCTAAAATGTTAATAGGTAAAAGAATTGGAGTTGGTTGTGAAAATATAGAAGAGCATATAAGTTATCATGCTTGCATATTCACCATTTGAGTCTCCAACAATTATTCCAATATATAATCCCTACCCCCTCACGTCAATCCCACAAGCCTCTTATCCATTCTCATTCGATCACGATCGGTGTGGGTGGGGGGGGGGTGGAGAAATTTTGTGAGGAATGAAGTTGCTCGACTAAAAGGTGAGGAACCAACCACTTCTTTATATACGTCGTCATTTGAGGAAATTACAAATCAAACCTTTTATATATACTTCAACAAAAGAAGCGTGGGCTTCCTCGATAGAAGAATCTTTTCTGTTTTGGTTCCAAAATAACCTAATCCTTTTTTGCTAAGGCCCGCATAAAAATATGCCACTGACGTAAGTAAAGCTAAAGCAACGGTAGTATTTATATCATTCGTGGGTGCGGCTAACTCCCCATGAGGTAGCTGTATGATTTTCCAGGGTAAAAGCGCCCCAGACCAATTAGAAACAAAAATAAATAGAAACATAGTTCCAATAAAAGCATCCTCCAACTGAATCTCTAGTCTTTCTCATGTTTTCACTCTAATATCGAATATATCTTACATTATTCCAACTATTATTTCATTTAGAATATATTCACATTATACTTCATGTTTCACTTTTAGCGAAGAGGTTTCAAGCAATCGAAGGAGCGATCCGAGGCAGCTCAGCTCGCTTCTCACCCTAGTTACAAGGTCCTCTTTTTTAGGAAAAATAATACAAGGGTTCCTTCCCTTGTATTTTCGATGAGGTATTTGGATTGTCTCATAACAATTCTCCCCTCATAACAATCATCCCCTCAAGACAAGGATCACAAACTTCGTGTCCTCTCCTCAGCGATTATCTTGATCCGTCAGACACCTTGTATAGATGAGCTTCTCGGGACAAGGATTTTTCGAAACGCAGATTTTCTCATAACGATAATCTCCTCAAGACAAGGATCACGAACTTCGTGTCCTCTCCTCAAAGATTATCTTGATATGAAGCAGACGCGGACCTCCCTTGATCCGCTAACCCAAACAACCAGACGCGGATCTCAAATCTCGAGGTCACCGAATGAGGGTCCACGAAACCAGGGGCGGACCCAGGGGAGTTTGGGGGTGTCTCGGGACACCCCTAAATTTTGGGAAAACGATTATCCAACCCTCAGTGATAATTTGCGTATGGAAAAAAAATAATAATTGATAGTGGGGGACACCCCTGAAATTTGAAAAAGTGATTATCCTACTCTCATTTTTTAATTTGTGTATGAGAATATAGGTAGTTTGGGCAATTCGAACATAGAACACTATTATTATTAATAAACGTAATTTCCATTAGGTTACAACTCATTTTTTGCTCGATTTTAAACACAGTGTAATAGTAAAATGACATTCACTATCTCTAATTATTTTCAAAATCTAACAATCAAACTAATTTCAAGCTATCGTTAATTTGTATTGATTATAAGGTTGTATGCGTTGAAAAAGTCTTTTTAACTTTGAGTTACATCAATAACAAGTTTAAAAATTGAATTTCTGATCGGTTCGTGAATGATTGTCTAGTAGGATATACATAGACAATAATTTGAGCAGTGTAAACACCAAGTGTATTCTACAATTATTTTCGAATATGAAAACACATCGTGGAATTTTTTTAAACTTCGTACGAGTCAGGTATTTTTTTATTTAAGAATGATTTAATTTTTAAAAGAGGACACCCCTATGTAAAATTTCTGGGTCCGCCACTGCACGAAACTGACGTCAACTGCCCCGAACCAAACTAGACTCTGATACCACTTGTCATAACTGGGCAGCTCAATTAGTACTATATTATCCGCTTTAGATCAAGCTCACACAATTTTACTCTTGAATGTCCTCCCAAAAGGCCTCGGACTAATTGGATTCAACTAAGTAGTAAAAAATATTGCCAACAACAAAAGTCATCGCTGGCTGTCCCTTTCTTGCTCTGTATTTCCATTTATCTCTTTCTTTTCCATACACGTGGCTGAGACAGAATCAGGTCAAGCCGCCCGTCCAAAAGACACTAATCCTCTATAAACAAGCTGACCGAGAAAGCGTAGGGTTCTCTCCTCGCTCTGAATGGTCCAGAATTTTGGAAGCCAGCCGCGTGTGGCAATAGTGGAATGACACGTAGGCACTCTCAGCCCTTTACAAGTGGTGCTACGTGGAAATTCGGAATTCAGGTTTTCCCATTTGGGGTAGTAAAAGTTAGGATTGATAGCTAGTCCCTTTTTGTGGTCACGTTCACGTATATATTTTAGGTTTGTTTTCGTTAGCCATGATCGCACCAAAATTGGCGCCACGGAAGACGTTGACTAGCTCCCAACCAACACTTGAAAGTGATACTAATGGAAATGCATCTTTTTTTGCGTATTTTTTTCGAGGATCTCGAATTGTATAAGCTATAAAGTCAAATTAAGGTCAAAGCACCTGGACGTGGAACTAAGTACGTAGCCCATAAAAAAAAAAAAAAAGAACTAAGTACGTACAAAAATATATAATTAGAGTAGGAGTGTAAACTCCCTAAAAACCTACTGCCCGACCCTGAGGATTGTGTTGGATAAGTTTATCTATAGGGTCAGTTTAGGGTCAGGTAATCTTTTGACCATGTAAGGGTCGGGTAGAGTCAAGTCAGTTTAGGTTCGGGTCATTTTTGACCCTGTGACCCTTATATATATATATATGAAATTTCACATACCAACACATTTGACTTATTTGTAAAAATTTAAAAGTATAGGTACTAAATTGTAAAAAATATTTGGGTACCAAAACGTAATTTTACCATCAAAATTGAAGGACTTATTTGCAAGAAAATATGTACTAAATTGTAAGAAAAATAATTGTGAGTACCAAAACATAATTTGTAAAAAATCAGTGTGTTGATAAGGGTTGACCCACTGACCCGACCCTAGAAGGTTAGACAGGGGACAGGTTATGGTGATTACTTGGTATTAGTAATCACCGTGGCTACTAAGGATAGAAATGATATTTTACTTTTATTATAATCATAATTATCATATTAATTACGTGATAATTAGGGAGAGATAATTATGAAAAGTAATTATGACAGCAATTAAACCATCGTAAGGTTTTGTGACGTTTGGATTGGTAGTGTTAATCACTTTGTATGGCTGCATTGGTAGTGATCTGCATTGGTAGTTGTCTTAAATCTGTACAGATTGTATTGGTACAAATTTAATATTGGATTGATTCTGGTGGTATGAATTGGATTGGTATTGGTATTGTGATTATCATTATTGAAATGGTATTGATTTTGCCTTATTGTGCAACGTATTGTTGTGTCTGATTAGTTTGGTATGAATTTCAGTCATTACAAACATACCAATGAACACACAAAAAGTCCAATGAACACTGCCAAAACTGGAACACTACCATTGCATAAAACTGGAACACTACCATTGCAAACATACCAATGAACACTACCATTCCACGCCAAGCTATACATGTGAGAAGATAACTACCAAAAACAATATATCACTACCAATCCAAGATAACTACCAACACAATATATCACTACCAATCGAATTGCCGAGCTGAATCCTTCCCTCTTGGAGGGTACTGGAAGTGAATCCCGACGCGCTGGATCAAGCAGCGAAGGCCGATCTGGAGAGATCGGAGAATCAGGGACGATTGGGAGGTCTCCACGGGATTCCGATTCTGCTCAAGGACGGGATAGGGACGAAGGACAAGCTGAACACGACGTGTGGGTCTTACGCGTTGCTGGGTAACAAACAGTCGCCGACCCGGAGAGAAAGACAGCGGCGTTGTCGGCTGCACGGGGTCGTCGTCGACTGCACGGAGTCATCATTGTGGGCTGCACAGAGTCATCGTCGTCGGATGCACGAAGTCGGCTGCGGCGGGTTTGATTGGAGGGAGGATAGAAGTCGGGTTTGGGTAGAATATATATAATAATCTGGTGTGGTCTCTTTTTTGTTTCCAAAATTACCCTGGAACAATCTTAACCGTGAGATTATAAAAAAAAAGAAAAAAATAAAATAAATGGTGGATACAGATGTAGCCATGGTGGCTACTAGAATTTCAGTTACCACCCTAACGCATTCCGGTTACACAGGACTAAGAAGAAAACAAAGATAGGTCAAGTCAGTTATACATCTTAACCCTTTAAGTACGGGTCAAACACAGGAAAGGGTCTGGAGCGGGTCAAGTAATTTTCAGCTCTAAATTAGAGTATGAAATCAAGACGAGGCTCCGCAATCAAACTGCATGGATAATTATTAACTAATTAATGAAGTATGGTCTCAAGTATGAATACGCCCCGTAATGATGATCAGTGTCTATACTGGACGAGTTAGTTGACCTAATTCATTGATTAATTACTTACTATAACACTAACTGCCGCCATGCACACGACAAGTGGTATATGCGTGTCATTACTATAATAATAATAATAATAATAATAATAATAATAATAATAATAATAATAATGTTTTCCGGCGAGAAAACTTGCGTTGAAATAACTTGATTGCACCTTTGACTTCTTTGGACAACGATCACTAAACACGGTTCACACCTCTTCAAACACAGTTCGAACGAGGGTGTTCGATTGATGGTTTTTTGGGAACGAGATCTAAATTAAATTACTTCTACTCCTATGGAGGTTCGGCGAGAGCTCCAAACTACGAACTACATCTATGGCTACATGATAGAGAAAAGGTAAAGGATAAACTTGACATGTGTGTCAGAGTGTTGGTTTTGGAACCCCTTGCCTCTGTCGACCCCTCCTCTTATTTATAGCCCCGAGGAGGTAACCGCCATAGAAAACCGCCTCTTGGATAACTCCCAAAAAGAACCGCTCCCTGCTTCCTCGGAGTGGTGGTTACTCCTTCAACCGCCTAGGTGCCTCTCTGGGAACCGTCTTGGGTTTTGGAGTGTAGCTTGCCTCGCCTGGTCTTGTTCTGAATCTCGTGCCATGCTAGTCTTTTGACGAGCATGTGGTGTCTCGCAAAGGGGGTCGTGGTCTTCTTGCCTCGCGGCGATGGACTTCTTACTCATGTCCATGGCCCTCTTGGGACTTAGTCTCTAGTGATATAATATTCCATCCCCATGTCATTCTCCTTCGTGTCCATGGCCCCTCTCGTGAGGGGGCATGGCCTCCCAGAATTATCATATGGCATGGCCTCTTGTTTGCACCCATGGACCTCTCAATCATGGACATGACCTCCCTCATGAAGCAGCAAGTCCTTCCCTATACTTAGAATATTTTTGGTTGTTTGGTTTAGATCATGAGGCGGCATGGCTTCCTTATTCACGACCATGGACTTTTCATTCATGTCCGTGGCTCTTTTCATTAGACGGCATGGCCTTCTCATACTTAGTATTTTTCCATCGTGCCCAGGTCCTCTTGTCTCGTATCCATGGTCGTGACATATGGCACGACCATGGACCTCTTAATCATCCACATGGCCCTTCTCGTGAGGCGGCATGGTCTTCTCATACTTAGAATA